TCAGCCACACCATGGCCATCAGCCCCACCATGACCACCAGCCCCACCATGGCCATCAGCCCCATCATGACCACGAGCCCCACTATGACCACCGTCCCCCTGACCCATTCACCAACACATCCTCACCACCACCATGACCACCAGACCCACCATGACCACCAGCCCCACCATAGCCACCATACCCACCATGGCCATCAGCCCCACCATAGCCACCAGCCCCAGCATGGCCACCAGCCCCAGCATGGCCACCAGCCCCCTGGCCCACTCACCATACAGACCCTATGTCCTCACCCCCTCCCTGACCACCACCACCTTGACCACCTTCCCCCTAGCCCATTCACCACGCAGCCATCACACCCTCACCACCACGATGGCCACCAGCCCCACCATGACCACCAGCCCCACCAGCCCCCTGGCCCATTCACCACGCAGCCATCACGTCCCCACCACCATGACCCTCCCCATCCCACTCACCGTGCAGCCATCCTCAGTGACACCATAGGTGAAGCGGCTGTTGCCTTCAGCCCTGATCTCAATTTCATTGGCTCCTTGGAGGAGAAGGGCCTTCTTCAGGTTGCCAGTGTCCTTGTCCATGTAGGCAACGCTGTTCTTGCAGTGGTAGGTGATGTTCTGGGAGGCTTCGGTGGACATCAGGCGGAGGAAGGTCAGCTGGATGGCCACGTCAGCTGGGTTGGAGCCCTCACCACCATACTCGAACTGCCAGAGAAGAAGCATGAAGGCACTGCAGAGGTTGCCCACCTTGGTTGACCCACCCTCACCGTCCCCCTGCCCACCTGGAAGCCGTCGCTCATCGTCTCGCCGAACCAGATGTGCTTCTTCTCCTTGGGGTTCTGGCTGAGGTACCAGTTCTTCTGGGCAATGGTGGCCTGGGTGGGGTAGACGCACGTCTCGCCTGTCTCCATGTTGCAGTAGACCTTGATGGCATCCAGGTTGCAGCCTTGGTTGGGGTCGATCCAGTATTCACCTGTGGGGCAGGGGGAGATGGGTCAGGGGGTGGGGAAGGAGGCTGCAAGGGGCGGGTGGAGGGTGGAGGTGAAGAGAAGTCAGGAGGGATGGAGCTGAGGAGCAGCCATGGAGGAGGGAGGGATGGTGGTGAGGAGGAGGAATGGAGGTGAGGAGGAGAGATGGAGGTGAGGAGGAGGGATGGAGGTGAGGAGGAGAGATGGAGGGATGGG